TAGAATGATCATCTATTTAAACCGGTATAAGGTAAATTTATTCTTATTTCAATTTTCGGTGTCATATGATGTGTCAACAGATATGATGTTTTCATGATTTAAATAATTTTAAAATTTTATTATGTGCCAATTATCTGATTTGTGACTTCAATTCTTTTTAATCAATTACCTTATGATATGGGTTTAAAAAACATATATGGTACAAATACACTGCTTATTTCACCTATAATTTGACTGACCTTTTATTTACTCTGTGCGATGTTTCCCGATGGACATTGATTTACTCTCAGGATTGTGGTTCTGCTTTCTTCTTCCAAAATAGTTACAAAAAACAGCACTCGTTCAGAAAAACATGATTAAGAAAGAATACGAACCTCATGAAATTTAACAGCAAGCAGGATTTAGAGCTGGAAGATCTTGCGTAGACCACATATTTACCCTAATACAACTGAATGAAAAGAAAGTTGCAAGAAACCAGGAAATACATATTTTATTTGTGGATCTCAGAAAAGCATATAACACGATTCCTGTGAGACAGCTGTGGCATTCTCTTGAACAATCTTTAATAAATAGCACGATCATCGCCGCAGTCAAACAATTATACAATAAAGCATCATCAAAAATCAAACTAAAGAACACCTTATGAAAAGAATTTCCAGTAACAAAAGGCTTACGACAAGGATGCCTCTCTCCAATACTATTTAAGATCTATTTAAATAAAGCACTAAAACACTGGAGAAGATCCTGTTCAGGAATGGGGATCCAACTTGACGACGATACATTATACACTCTACATTTTGCGGATGACCAAGTAGTAGTTGCAGCAAACAAGGAAGATTTAGAATTCATGACGAGACGGTTGTTGAACATATGAAGAATGGGGCCTCCCTGTAAATAGAAACAAAACGCAATTTTTATGCATCGGGAATGAAGTAGAAGATCTAATGGTCAACGAACATGAAACAATCAAGAACTGTGAGGAATATATATATTTGGGAACAACAATCAACAAGAGTGGGCGCACCGGAAAAGAGATAGAGCAAAGAATCGTGAAAGGAAAAAGTGTGATAGGAAGCCTAAACCCGATGCTATGGTCAAAAGAACTATCAAATCATAGAAAGCATCTCCTCTTTACCTCCATCTTTAAAAGTTTAGTGCTCTATGGATGCGAAACATGGCAACTTACTAAATCCCTTGAGCGATGCCTACTTGCATTGGAAATGAACTTCTGGAGAAGATCAGCTAAAAAATCAAGGCTTGATAGAATACAAAATGGCCATATCAGAAATATAATCGGAGTCAAGTCAACCATCATTGACGAAATTCAAAGGAGACAACTGATCTGGTATGGTCATGTGAAAGGAATGGACGACGACAGGCTGCTAAACCAAATTTTAAAATGGACGCCAAGGGAAAGAAGGAACAGAGAAAGGCCAAAACAATCCTGGCTGAGCGGCATTCAGAAGGCAATGTCGGAAAGAAACCTTTACCTTAGCGAATGGAATGACCGACGTAGCTGGAAACTGGGAACCGGAAGACGGAGAACGCTATAAAAAACCGGGATAATAAAATAATATAATATCTACAAATTCTTAACCTATACGTAGTCTTGAATATTTATGATCTCATGGTATTTTACATACAAAAATTTATTTTATTCTTAATCTACTTTAGAATCATAACAATATATACGCAAGTAATAGAGCAAACATTTGTCAAACTGTTCACGTCTAAATCGGAATCAATAGAACGATATAACAGCTTTTTCAGTATCTCTACTTCGTCAGCTGTTCGAGCTGATTCTGATTCAAACCGAAAAGTCCAACTAATATTTCCAAAATATTCCCACTTTTAGTTGTTTAAGTACAGAGGTGCCACCTACTTTGATGGCGAAAACTAAACAGCTAAATCAATTGTTTTTTATCCGCTGGGCTGTCGAAATATGCAAATATTAGTAGCTTTCAGCAAAAGCTTGTTATAGCTCTGATGAAATGAAAGCCATCTATTATGGAAACAGAGCACAAATCTGTCAAAACTTTTACGGCTACATCAAAATCAATAAAAAGATACAACAGTTATTTCAGTATCTCTATTTTATTAGTCGTTCGAGCTGACTCCAATTCAAACCAAAAAATTCAACTAATTCCCTTAAAATCTTTTTACTTTCACTAGTTCACTGGTTCGAGCACAGAAGACAACAGAGGAAAACAATTAATTTAATTTTTTATTTCTTTGCCACCAAAGCAGGGGGCACCTCTGTGCTCGAACCACTGATAGTGGCAAGATCTTAGAGACATTAGTTGAACTTTTTGGTTTGAATCGGTATCACCTCGAACGGCTAACGCAGTAGGATATAGAATAACTTGGTGAGATCTGTTGATTAAATGAAGTTCCACGGACCAGTATCTTCTTTTATCTTTCTTAGTTTGCTTGTAGATATCGTCCATTTTTTTCCGTAAATTGATGGTCACCGATTTTAATAGTTACTCTATATCTGAGGCTGAAATTGATTGTTCTGTCAATAAAGGTATTTGCTAAGGTATGTAAGCGTAACGATCAGCGTTTGCATTTCCAGATTTCATTTCGATTCCAGACTGTGAGGCAACCCATAAAAAACTATTTTTAATTCTGTTTGACTAATGTAATACTTCTTTGAATAATGTGGTTATATTCCCTTTAAGATCTTTTAACTTTCACTTGGTTCGAGCACAGAAGACAACAGAGGAAAACAATTAATTTAATTTTTTAGTTCTTTGCCACCAAAGCAGGGGGCACCTCTGTGCTCGAACCACTGACAGCGGGAAGATCTTAGAGACATTAGTTGAACTTTTTGGTTTGAATCGGTATCACGTCGAACGGCTAACGCAGTAGGATATAGAATAACTTGGTGAGATCTGTTGATCTCACCAAGGAATGGACTTCCCAAGTTGGGAAGTCCATTCCTTGGTGAGATGAGTTCCACGGACCCGTATCTTCTTTTATCTTTCTTAGTTTGCTTGTATATATCGTCCATTTTTTCCGTAAATTTATGGTCACCGATTTTAATAGTTGTTCTATATCTGAAGCTGGAATTGATTGTTCTGTCAATAAAGGTATTTGCTCAGGATGTAAGCGTAACGATCAACGTTTGCATTTCCAGATTTTATTTCGATTCCAGACTGTGAGGTAACCCATAAAAAACTATTTTTAATTCTGTTTGACTAATGTAATATTAATATTCGTACGTAATCGTACGATAGCTTTGATGAGTCATGCTCTAAAACTGTTCTTAAAAATAATCCATAATAGGATCTATAGGAAATTAGACGTATACATCAGTAACACTCAGATGGGATTCAGAAAAGGGCTGGGTACAAGGGAGGCTCTGTTTGCAATGAACGTTCTCTCACAGAGATGCTTAGACATGAACCAAGAAATTTACGCTTGCTTTATTGATTTCGAAAAGGCCTTTGACAAAGTACAACATGAACCACTAAGACAAGTTCTAATAAAGAAAAATATAGACAGCCGATAAATTCGAATTATATGCAATCTATATTGGAATCAAACAGCAAATGTCAAGGTTAAGGGCAGAGTAACAGAAGAAATTCAAATCCGTCGAGGAGTCCGGCAGGGATGTATCTTATCGCCACTTTTATTTAATCTGTATAGTGAAGCTATCTGTGAACAAGCACTCGAGGAAGAAGATCTTGGTCTGATAATAAATGGTGAGACGATCAACAATATAAGGTGTGCTGACGATACAGTTCTCCTAACGGGAACGCTAGTAGAACTACAATATCTCGTTTAAAGTCTTAATATATACTGTAACAGTTACGGCTTGAAAATTAATTTGAAAAAAACTAAATTCATGGTAATCACGAAATCAGAGAACATCAGAGCCAATCTTGTAATAGACAATACAACGATTGAGCGTGTGCCCTGTTATAAATATCTAGGTGCTTGGATCACAGACGATACTGATCAAACAAAAGATATTAGATGTAGAATAGAAATCGCTAGATCAGTCTCTAATAGAATGCGCAAACTCTTTTGCAATCGTGATATCAATATAAAGTTACGAATACGAATGCTGCGGTGTTATGTTTTTTCTACCCTGTTATATGGAGTTGAGGCTTGGACACTAAAACAGTTGACCATAAAAAACATCGAAGCTTTAGAGATGTGGTGCTACAGGCGCATTCTCAGAATATCATGGATGAACCGCGTCACTAACACGTAACTACTCCAAACTTTAGACATGAGATGCGAAATTCTAAATGAGATAAAAACTAGAAAGATGGAACACTTGGGGCACATTGTGAGAGGTGAAAAGTACGAACTTTTAAAAAACATCATGCAGGGCAAAATTAAGGGAAACAGAAGTGTGGGAAGAAGAAAAATATCGTGGCTTCGTAATCTACGTAAATGGTTCGGGTGTAGTTCGATTGAACTTGAACTGTATAAACTGTGAAGATTATCAAATAAATATTTGATATCATTGGTTATGATACTGCTGCTCCCACCCCTTGGAAATACTTAAATGAATCAGTGAAGATTTAATGTTTAGATGTAAATTTTTATCATATTTAATAATATTTCTTTGATAGACCTTATCTACATAGTTGATGGTTTCTTGTGATTTTAGTAACTTGTTAAAAAATATGCTAATGATATATTTTGCATATTACGCTTAAGGGAAGAAGCTTAAATTGTAGTTTTAAATGCATTTTAAGTATTTTCTGTTTGTCATGTAGAATTATTAATTAAAAATTAGTTCCCTCCAGAACTGTGCGATTGTTATGCACATGTGGAATTTGGACATCTAAATATTTATTAAATTTCATTTACAGTCATTACATTGAAAATGGTAAATAATTTTATTTTAGATTCGGTTTTGCTTTTTTCACTGGCATATTTGGAAAGTGCAGTAAATTATACATCTAAGCATGTTCAGTTTAACTGCATGTAAAATGTATATATGTATGTATGTTACTACAAAGTATCTTTAATTGTTACAGGGTGATTCCGGGGGACCACTGGAGTTAAACGGTACATTAATTGGCATCGTATCCTATAAACACCCAAACCGCCCCTGTGGAGCTGCCGGTTACCCTGTGGCTTACACCAAAGTACCAGATTTTCTAACATGGATAAACAAAAATATTGACTTCTAATGCCTATCAAAATTAGCTATTTTAAACTAATTATTAACAAATTTGACGCAGAAAATCGCTTTGATAAAATATTGCTACTTTTGTGAACATAATTTCAATTTATTATCAAACAAATTGTAAAAAAACTAAATTTAGTTAAAAAATTTTAAATTGTACATCTAATATCATTTGAATAAAAATATGCTCCATGTCAACTCTTTTACTTTATATTTAGCATCTTCTCCAAGATGATATAAAATCGTTTCTTTGTTATATATTGACAGACCCAGATCTATAGAATAATATATATATATATATATATATATATATATATATATATATATATATATATATATACATATACCGGGTGGTGAATCGTCAAACGGGCCATAGGAAACTCAATGGGAAATTTTAAATTGTTGAATTGCTGCTTTTCTAATTATTTTAGATGAAAAATTATTAAGAACTATTTGTAGAGGACTAAAATCTGAATTAAGAACAAATGTTAAAATCGTTCTACGAATCAAATGTACTTCAAAATTTTGTAAAAATAAAATACATTTTTCAGGCCACCCCTAAAAGTTAGGCCACACGTAATGCAAGAATATATATTATGACGTGTGTGTTTTATCATATTGATGTCAGATCTTTGACAGTTTGAATTGTCAATTTTTTTATTTTATGATTAAATGATAAACAATGAATTTTACTAAATACTACTACTACTGAACTACAAATATTACTTTGTGAACAATAAATTATATTGTTTACAAATCGATCAATATAATGAAATGTACTCAGTTGACGAAAAATCGCATAATGTTGTATTCAGGCAATAGCGCGAAGCTTTTCCTGCCACTACCGGATCTTTATTTAACTTAATATATTCTAATACACTAAAATTTAATTCCATGTTAAGTTAAGTTATACAACAATTCAATGAATTCCAATATACTGTTACTGTGATCTTTATTCCTAAAAATAATTTATGATAATTTCTAAACATAAAACTATAACAAATGTTATAATAAAACATGAATAAAACATTTTTATTATTGCTCTTTTCTCCTCAACTGAGTACATTTTTTAATCAACTTAATTTTTTTTAAATAATAAATCACAAAATTTTAGCCATTTATTATTATTATTATTGAGTTAATTCCTCGACAACCTTTGGCCAGTTAAATCATAGATAAATATAAAATAGTTGATTTAAATATTGTCAAATATCAAAAACATCCATATGACAAAACGCAACACGTAATACACATTTTTTCACGGCATCTGGCCTGAAAAATGTATTATATTTTGACAAAATTTTGGAATAAGTTTAAATCGTAGAACAATTTTAACAGTTGTTTTCGATGCATATTTGAGTCCTCTACAAATAGTTTCTCATGACTATTGGTGTAAAATAAAACCTTGTTGTTCTTCTGCTAGTGCTATAAATTCATTCAGTTTATTTGTTATCACCTTGGTTGTTCATTTTAGTGTTAGAAAAAATTAACCATAATTTGGTACACATTAAAAAAATGAGATAGAATGACCGGGTAGCGTTATATATGTTTGTTAACACTAATAGAATAACCCCAATCAGTTTCATTTGTGTTATGCGACATCTTCAGTGTGCGCAAGTACCACCATTTTGTGTGAAAATTTAATATTTATACCGGTCGCCTTTTTAAAGGGATTAGTGGTAGATATAATTGAAAGATCAAAAATAGTTGCGTTTAAGTTAGGTAAATTACATTAAAACAATATAGAATTAATACCGACCATAGTTGATGTTATGAGACACTATAACTATATGTGGCACGATCTTCAACTTAAGGAAAACGGTAAGAATCCAGATTTCTCTCGCGTAGCTGAAGAAACGTTGGATAAAGTTCAATTGATCTGGCGTAAAGCTTCAATCCCTATGATATCTTACAAAACTATGAGAGGTATGTTGAAAAGAAGCTTAGATGGAATTAAAGCTCTAAATAAATTTTTCGAAAGAGATCAACATAAGCAAACATTTTGTTCTCATCTTAGCAAGTTTTTGGAAAAATCTGGCAAGTTATTTGATGTATGCACTTCTAAATGTAGTGACTTAAACTCTTGTAGTGTTCGTGAAAAAAAGGTCCCTGTAATGGAGCGCGAGTTTTTAATAGACCAAACAACTGTACGCCAAATGATGATTGGTAATGTAGACCTAAAAAGTACGGCACAAAATAAAAAACGAATTATAAGAAAAGAGAAAGAAACCATAAAGAGACAGGAAAAGGAAGAAAAAGAAAAGAAAGAAGTTGACGACAACTTAGACTTTGTCTCAAAGTAGCCCAGTTTTTGACAAAAATAAAGTCAGACGGGAAAGAGTAAAGATTCGTAAGGAAATTTTAGGCAAAAATTTAGATGAAACGAATTTATTGCAAGCGCTTTATTTTGATGGAAAAATTGACAAGACCTAAAAAACATCGTCGTGTCCATAAAGAAGATCATTTATCTATTATTCAAGAACCAGGATCAAAATATGTAGGGCACGTCAAAGTATTATCAGGGAAAGCTGCGGACATAGCTAATTCAATCATGCAGTTTATGTCAGATAAACAAATTAGTTTGTCGGAACTGGTTTGTGTTGGATGTGATGGATGTCCAACTAACACAGGCAAAAGTAATGGTGTTATAAGAATACTGAAACTAAACCAGACAAAACTTTACAATGGGTGGTGTGTCAGTTACACACCAATGAACTTTCACTGAAACATCTTTTTGAATTTTTAGTTGGTCAAACATCTGGCCCTCGTAGCTTTAGCGGTTCAATTGGCAAAGCGTTAGCTGACTGCCACAAACAAACTCCAACTAAGTTTGAACCGATAATGAGCCCAGTTGAAGTGCTGTTTTCAGATTTAAACAAAATAGATTTGAGTTGGATCAGAAATATTTATATGGCATATGCAAAATAGTTACTTAAGGAGAATCACCACCAGGATTTGGGGATAGAAGTCCTGGTGAAGTTGAATCATGCACAGTGGATGACAACTGCCAATCGTGTACTCCGATTGTACATTGCATCTAGTTCACCATCAGATCAGTTAAAAGATTTAGCCAAATATGTTGCCTTAGTTTATGCTCCAAGCTGGTTCACTATCAAATGCAATCACAAACTGAAGGATGGTTCAAGCAACCTTTGGAAAATGCGGGACTTTTCATCATATATGTCACACGAACGAAAGAAAGTGATTCATAAGTGCATTCAAAATAATGCATACTTCGCACACCCTGAAAATATGCTTGTGGCAATGCTCTCCGATGACAGGGAACACATTCGTCAGCTTGCGATCAGACGAATATTAAAAGCCAGAAGAAAAAACGACAGAGAAAGAGTTCGACTTTTTGAAATTCCTAAAATAAATTTTTCTGCTAAAGAATACATAGATTTAATTGAATGGCAGTTTATGGGTGTTACTAAGCCCCCTGTTACCATGCATCTATCAGAAGAGTCATACGATCAGCACTACAAGTGTGCGATGAAAAGAAAAGGAATGAAATAATCAGAACTAGACTATTTGACAGAGCAATGCGGCCTAAGTTTGACTCTAAGAAAGAGTCTAAAGCGTAAGCAAAAAGAACAACGTGCTCTCATGGTTGGGTGGAAGGGAGGGCACGGGTGGGACTCGACATGCAACTACCTCATCGTGGTGAGTCCTGGGTAGTTCATTATGAACTAGCAAAGAGTTGCATAAATGATGATATATTTTCCTCGATAAATGTATAGAAAAAAGCTGACTGTAGACTTTTCAAAACAAATAGACTTCAAATATTAGAACAGGTAGGTTGTATAAAAATATTGTATTTAACCTTAAAATCGCGTAAATTGATGGTTCTTGCGCACACTGAAGATGTTGCATAAGACAAATGAAACTGTTTGGGGTTATTCTGTTAGTGTTAACAAACATATATAACGCTACCAGGTCATTCTATCTCATTTCTTAATGTGTACAAAATTATTTCTAAAAAGTTACTTTTTATCAAAAAACTGAAATTTTAAGTCAAATGCGCAGACTGAAGATATTTTTTTTTCAGCAAAAACATTTTTCAGTTTTCTTTTAGGACCCCAAATGCAACTTTTAAAACTTACCCTGTTTCGATCGGATAAAATAATATTTTTTCGGCCCACCCTAATGCATAGGTAAGTTTACACTTTTTTTATTTATATTTTAACTATGTTTTCTTGACGTCTTTTTCAAAAAATACCGTCACGAAATCATGCCCCACATGAGTAGGTTATAAATGGAAAGCGTATGATGTTTTGTATGTATATTTTATTGGTATTGTAGACAGTATTTATTTTTATTTTATTTCAGAGATAGTCACGAAATCATGCCTTGTATGAATACGTTATAATCGCTAAAGATATGTGGCTCCTATATAAGTTACTAAGAAAATTTATTGTATCCACTTACTGTTTTGGATCACTTTTAGAAATACGCATCATTTACTATGAATGGTCTAAAATGCAATATTGCACTGGTGGTTTGTGTTTTAGTGATCAAAACCAATATTATTTGGGCAGGTAAATATATTATTAGGAATATTTTATAAAGTAAAATATAAATATTACAATTTATTATTTGTACGATAAACTACGTTTAACTTGTCTAATATATATATTTGAAACTCGATTTTACTAACTCTTAAATTTTATGCAATTCTAGATAAAGATCTGCGAATAGTTGGAGGAAAAAAGGCAAAAATAGAGGACCACCCATGGATAGTTTCTCTTTTGACTCCTAATAAACACCATTCATGCGGTGGATCTCTTATAAATGAGGACACAGTTGTAACCGCTGCCCATTGTTTTATGTCCAAGAAGTATGAGTTAAAGTAAGTTTGTTAAGACGAAGTATGAATAATATAAATCTATAATTCAGCATATAATATTTCTTTTTACTGCAAATTCATTTAGGTTTAAAGGAAACAATAAAATCAATTATCAACGGAAGCAAAGCAAAGCCAAATAGAAACAGGTATACGTCACT